AAATTGTAAATCTTTCTGATTTGGGAATTACTGCGGTCGTATGGTTGAATATTTAGATATTATATCAAATACATTAAAATCAGAGTTGTTTTAATCAGATTTGAACAAATGTACTACTAGAGGCAAAAATGGGGGGAGCATGCTTCAAAAATCACACTGCAGTGTACAATTACGGCGGGGCATTAATTTTGTTTAAGCCAAATCATAGCGTACAAAATTGATGGCAAATAAATATTTTTTGAAATTGTAAAGTTAAAAATAGTTCTCTTTCTACAATTATAAATCAAAGTTCTTATCAATTATAAAAGTTCAATGAATTACCAATACACAATATAAATAAGTTTTAACATGCAAAAAATCAAATATAATAAATATTTCATAGCAATTGACGAGTGCATAATTTAACTAGTTAAATATTTACATATGGAGTAAATGCGGGAATGTTGCTATAAACATATTATAAATATAAATAAATAGGCACGTAAATGTAATACATCAGTTTTTATTTATTTTTTGACAAATTGACCATCATATCCTCAAAGTAATACTTTCATCAAATTAATCCTGCATCGGACTGCATTGTGTGTATAACTTATTTTTAAAATATAATTTTATTAGACTATTATTTTAACATCTTGCATTTGACAAAAAATCTAAACTTGAATATTGTATTAAAATATGAATTTGTACTATTGATCGGAAAAAATGTCGAGTTGAATGATAATAATATTGTATAAAGAAAAAATTTGAAAAAAGAATTTCGTTTGAACGTCCAAAAAATTGTTCAAGTTCCTTGAGAATGGGAATTCAGTTCCGGTCCTCGTTCTTTTTGATTCACTCGAGTGACTCGTACAGTGAGTTAGCACACTCACGAGTCTTTCGTAAAACAATATTATTCATAATATGAACGGACGAGTATTCTTTCCAAACATCGTCAAGCAGTTATAACAGTATTACGGGTCGCATTATTTTACTCTGCAGTCTAAAACCGTTTGTAATTTTGACGTTTTACTCGATCGTTTACATATTATATATTATTATCCGGTACAATTATTATAATATGTAACGCCGGTGTACATCGTATCACTTATTAGTTATTATATTGTAGAGTGCACAGCTATTCGTATATATACGTCTATATACAGGTGCATGCCTCGCACCGTGTTTACACCAATGTATTCTCAGATGGTTATGCCGGATAAGTGTAATAATATTATGTTTGATTTGAACAATTAGTCTGGACAATGCAGGTTTTGTACGAATTCGAGTGCTACCACCCCGGCGGCGGCTGATGATGATCAACGATTATGCGATGAATATCATTATATTATAATATACGATTGACACGCGGGGCAAAGGGTTCCGATCGATTCTTTTCGAGAACCGGTCGAAACGCATCATATTATATTATAGGATTTAATGATATCATACACCTCTGCAGCAGACTCGTGTGACGAGATTTTTGAAGTTCAAACATCAGCACATCCATTGGCCCGATTACCGAATATCGGACGTACTCCGACGGAAACCGATAGTCTTAATATTTATCGCGTGCGGGAAGACACGACATTACAATAAATAATTTATAAGACGTATTATATAGTAAGTCGTTATGGGTAGATGGTAAAATATACGTATATTATAGGTTAACGCAGACTCGACAATGCGCCCGAAAACGCCCGTCTATGATGTACCTATGGATATTATTTTTTTTCTCGCTTAGGGTACAATATGATTGAACGGACGATCGACAGTGAACGATATAGTATATTATTAATTCAACGACGACGACGACGACTACCCGCCGACTATACGTAATAAACATATATTATTATTATAATATTAATGTGATGTAGACGGGCTGGGGATTTGATTTTCAGAAGGGCTTTTCTTTTTTATAGTCATTGGTAAACACACCGATATAGATGATGGCATCGGGGCTGTTAGGGAGCAATGATAATAGTGTACAGTGTACTTATAAAATGTATCAATTATTTGACTGAAAGCCGATTGTTATAGGGTTGATTCACAATGGAGGGGGGGGTTATATTCTTCTTGTCCCCCCCCCCCGAGTCTGCCCATACCGTCATTAAACACTATTTGCAGAGGTATTTGTTTATCTTCGTAGAGTGTATTACTGATGTTATCAAGTTATCAGTTGCCCAGGTCCCAAGGGCCCCATAGGTGTTATAGTGGTAAAACTAATACGCTCGATTCGTATCATAACTAAACAGAAGTATTCCCAGCGGAGTCATTCCAGAATTTTTAATAGTTGGGGGAGGGGATGTTTTGACTGGCTCAAATAACAGGAAAAATCAGCAGGCTTGCGATTTCTACTTACATTTCTATCACCGTATAAAATTATTGTCGTCTAATTATTATCATGTATTAGGCACTGCGATTATAAGCCCGATTGTTTGGCAAACAAATAAAAGAGGAACTAAATACATTGTATCTTTATACGGCTATGCCTACTTCAGTGGTGTCGTTATAGTTTTTCTAGAGGGTCCGAACAATTTAAATTACAACACTAAACGTGACTGCTGCTTTATGAAGTAACTGAAAAAGTGAAACATATTAAATAGGTATCGATGGAGGATCTTTAGAAATATCTGATGGATTTACCAGCACTTTTGTTGTGTTTTTTAGAACTCTTACTGTGTCAGTTAATACATCGGATTATTGTTGGAATGAAAAATAAATTATACTTGAAAATTAAAATCATTTAGGATTAAAAATATAAATTTTATTGTACTTGTGCTAGTCAGCATATAAATCTTTATGAGATATGTGCACCTGTATAAAAGTTATAATTGTATACATTAATAAAACCTATGCGTAGGTATACCTATGTCCGAGTCTCTCCGTTGACCGTTCGACAGAAAAAGAATGGCTACACACAAATACACACTTGCCTATAAATTCCAACTAAAAAACTACAAATATTAATTATCATTGTGACAATAATATCCCAGTAGGTACCTATAATATTGTATTTTTTCAAAATTCAAAGCTATAAAAATAATCGGTATGTTTTTACAACGACCTGCCCCAATGTCAATGTAAAATTTATCCCCGCTCCAAATTATGCTACTAAGTATAGATAATCATTAATTTAATATTTTAGTCTGCGGTCTTGATGTTCATGCAATGACGAGTTCCTAATATTTTTATGAATTCTCAAACCCGCTGTTAATTTATTGTCTCGAGAAACCAGAAAAAATTGTAAGTAAATATTAATTGACATTATAATACCATATTATAATATTTAAAATAAACTTTCAACGTCAACAAACCGGGATAATGTTGAGAGTATTCGTAATATATTTATAAGCATAATATTTTTGTATTTATTTTAGGGCCGTTTTCGCACAAAACCGTAGAATTTTCGGACCGGTATCAAATCGACGACCCTTTAAGACAAACGCCAAAATATCAAGTATAAACTTAGGTGTACGATTTAAAAGTTCGCCCGTACGAGGTATCAGGTCAAAACGATTGTCATGGTGAGTACCTACATTATTATTAGTTAAGTAGTAAAAAAAAAACCGCATATTATTGCAGTTGGTAGATGTCTCATACTTACACAAACATTTCTCGTCCGTCATATTACCGCCAACCGATTCAAATATTATTATGTGCATATCAATGTACAAAATAAAATGTATACATCATAGATTACGTGTATATTTTACAATTATTTGTTTTTAGTCACGTGGTATATAAGATTTTTTTTGAAAACAGTGGAAGACTGATCGGCTATAGTTCGATGGAAAAAATGAGTCAATAAATACAAAGTATAGTGTACCGGGATGGTCGTCGATGGTCAATGCCGACAATAGTCACGACTGCCACCGATCATCAACAATACATAACATAGAAATCAGAAACCGCTATTGTTTATTAGTTTAAAAAAAAATCATCAAATGAAGGGACAATATGCTTATAAGTTCATTATTATTATTTACGCGCATATATAATATTCTGTATCGATTCCAATTTTTCTGTTTTATTGTTATAAATACGTATAGAACATTCACAATTAAACAGAGTTTGAAAATTCACGATCATTCCCGGTTATCTACATAATAGTTTTTGTATTGTAGTGGGGTTTTCACTGTGCATATTAATTTTTAAACGATAACGTATAATATTATTCGAACAACATTCACAACGAACTACGTTACAACTACGATTGCGATTTGCTCATACCCTAAAAATGTGTAGTTTTTCGTTTTAAGATGTGCGAATATAATGTTTTAATTCTTATGCCGAACACAATAGTCTATACATAATATACAGGTACTAGTGTACTAGGTATACCCTTTAATAACAGATTAGATTTTGTACAACTCTTTACATTTTATTCTTTTCGTTTCCCCGATGAAAGCCCAACAACGCCCCTGATGTATAAGCATATTATTATTCTTTAAACAATATTGTGCCGACGTCTTTTGTGCTTCGAGAACACCGAAAAAATTATGATTTTGGTTCACATGAGTGAATCATTGCCCTCTCGTGCGTCCGCCGGGTATACCTACTACTGCTTCACCGTATTTTGTTCAGCATTACCTCCTGAAAATATATTAGACTAAGGAATTAATATATTATTATTATTATTATTATTATTATTACCTCACGCGGATGTGCGTTTGATTCAAAAGGAACATTATTGTACGACGTGCAATACGCGCAGGTCGGAGGTAGAACTGCAGCTGATGTGCACCATAACATTGTACACATGCACTGCAGCACAAACGATTATTAAACAATGAACGATGAATTTTTAAAACACAAATAAAATTTATTTTCATATCACTTAAAATGTTTATTTGTATAATATATACGTATATATAAATATTCTTTTTTTTACAATACAGGCCTCCGATACACTACTATAATACAATTTACTACGTTAAACCGAATGTGTATGTCGGCCCAACATACTCTTTCAGAGTTAAATTCTTTAGTAATACAAGATTGTACAAATACAGTGTACCTGTAAATGAATGGAAGTTTTCTCTTTTCTTTTTTGATTGGATGTTTACAATATAATATTACAAGTACATTAAATATGCGATAACATATACACATGTCATAATGTTGGTATTTAAAAAAATCATAATTTTTAAGTATTTAATTTAAAGGCACAGTAACAGAGTGGTTCAGTTGTATACGATACCAAAATGAAATGTTAAAAAAAAAAAAACATCAGTAGTATCGTTAACGTCGTCGATTATACACTAGAACCTTTAAATTAAAAAAAAAATATTATAATAACCCGTTGATAATAATTACACTAAAAAAAAAAAAAAATTAAATACTAATAATAATATAAATCACAGGTGGCCCCCACTTCATATCGTAATGAAAAACGATAGAGAGCTGATGTTAAAACTAAAACAATAGAATATATTATATTACAATATTATTTCATAATAAACGATAATACATCCAAACGCGCTGCACAATGATTGAATAGCAATATCAAATTTTTACGATGATCAGATAAATACAAATCGAAACGCTCTTTTATCCGCGAATAATATAATATAACAATAATAATTACTAAAATTGTGTAAAATTATATTATATTTTTTACATTATATCTGTTATAGGTGCGTCGTTTCGTCGAGGCGAGAATGTACTCGTCGCCACTGCCGATCACCAACCGTAGTTGTCATCGTCACAATTGTCATCAGTGACGGCGACGGTGGCGGTGTGCTACCTCCACTCGGAAGCGGAAGCGGAAGCGGCAGCGGTGGCAGCGTCGGTGTCGTAATACGAAGCGGGGGATTTGTTTCAATAAGCCGCGGTGCCATGATGGTGATGGGCCATCAGTGATGTGTGGTGGTGCGGGTGATGGTGATGGTGATGGTGATTTAGGTCGGTCAGATAGTGGTGACCGTGGTCGACGGACGACGGTTGGATGGACGGCGCCCCGGGTCCGGTGTTCATGTACCTGTAGAGGGTCAGAAAACCACTATGTTAGACAATCGATTTGATATTTATTATTATGCACATAAAAAATAGCGATTTCATGTCGACGTTAAGTTTTCCATAACTATGCTGGCTTCTTAATTTTGAAGACGTGTTTATTATTAATATTAAAACAGATTTCAATATTATATTATATACGAAAACGCGGAAAAGATATTGAATAATGAAATATAAATAATTATCGTTGTTATGACAATATGTAGATGGTTGAAATAACGAACGAGATACATTAAAACATAATATACATCTTCTCATTCCTCGTGCCACGAATTATTTTCAGACCGACGACTTTCGCAAAATATAGTATATTTTTATGGTCGATTAATACGTATATTGTTGTTGTACCTTGTACGATATTGTACACGTTTGAATGTACACAAATTCGAACTATATGTTTCATTTCTCGCTGTTATATTTTGTTGTGTATCTATTCGGAAATATATGAACAATATACAATATGTATTTATTATATTACTACAAATAGCATAATAAATTTCATTGGTTGAAAAGTGATGAAATACTTTAAACGTAGCTTAGGCTTTCTATTGTTAATTTTTTTGACATAAATATTATGTTTTTGGGGTAGACACACGTTTTTTGTTTCTGACCGAATTTTCGTAAGGTTTTCGTTGTTATGGTTACTTATCAACAAAATCATATCTATGGACTATTTATTGGTTCAGTTAATATTGTGTAATATTTTTTTTTTCAAATCCCTACTCGTTTTGATACACCTAATAGGTACATACATTGAGCACTACGAGTAGGTATATGAGATGATGATGGTCAATAGAAATAATTTCAAAAAATGTTCAACATTGGATGGAATTATTAAAAAAGACTTACACGGGACATTTATATGCTGGGATGTCATATACAAGTCCTCACACGACATCCGAAAAAAAAATCTCCACGCGATTTGTCGAATTATAATCGTATAAATCTACTATTATAATAATAATATGTGCGGCACAAAAAAGTTCTTATTTTAGACGAGCTTACCAATCGGACGTTGGCGGTGTGGGCAGTGGCAGCGCCGTTGGGTGTAGGACGGACGGTGTCTGCGATCCGTGATGGTGATCCACTGGCGACACGATGCTGGGCGTCGCAGTGGTGCAACTGTCGGTCACCCTGATCGAACCACCTGACGAGCAGTTGGAGTCTTCCGAGTCGTAGTTGCCGTCGCTGTCCATCTTGCCGTTGCCGTGCACCTATGAAAATAAATGAATGAAATGTTAATTCGTGGGCACCGATAATGTCGCAATGATTTGTAATTATTCGGCTGATTGGTCTCTGGGGAGATATTATAATTTATGTAAACCGAATGCATACCTTCATGTGCTTCCTGAGGGAACTAGGATGAGTGTACGACTTGTCGCAGCCAGATATCCTACAGTTGTACGGCTTGTCCGACGTGTGTACGTGCGAGTGCTTTTTCCTGTCCGAACTGTTGGCGAACCTACGGTCGCATCCTTCGTACTCGCATTTGAACGGCTTCTCGCCTATAAAAACACAAAAAATGTTATGTTAATATTAATATTATTTTTATTATTATTGTTATTATTATTATTATTATTGCCGTCGTTATTATTGCAACGATCAGTATATTTGTGCATCACGTGGCCCGTGAACAACAAAATCACAACATAATACAAGTGATGATTCCATAGTGTTCCTGCGGGAGGTTAGGAAACTGTCAAATGCACACAATGTGTCCTCATACAATAATTTACAGCAAAAATCGGGTAATGTACATTATTTATTTTTATCGTTTTCGTTTCGATAGAGGAATAAGCCGAGTGATGGAATTTTTCTGAACAAAGACACCCAGTAAATTACTTATTCAATACCTACATATATCGTCCATATAGAGAAGGAAAAAAAGGTCGTTTAAAAACCTTGAAGATTTTAGGTCCGAGACCCTTTTTTTTTGTTGTGCGTGGTGTGGTCAATATCGTTACTTCTGGAGTTGAGGTTCACTTGTGTTACTCGGATAGCTCATAAATCCTCTTCTAAATGGTATGGGAATATACAAAAGGCCTTTATACGTAACCCGTGTCGAATCGTCGATTTCTCCAAAAAAAAAAAAGAAAGAAATATTGTTCTGTTTTTATTGTGAGACCAAATTTTGTGTAACATTGACACTAAGATTGACGAATATGTCCTTGGTCATGATATCGTATTATCTTTTAGCGTGTAAATTGAGTTTGCATCCATTGCGATGGTATGGTAGTTATTTAGAGATAGAATTTTCCATTGAAAATGTATTTGGTGCATAGTACCTACATTTTTCTTGTTCGAAATGTATACAAAAAAAATAACAACACGTTTATTATTACGCGTTTTAAATAGTATATTGACTACAGGAGGCGAACCATAATGTTTCACATCCCACCTATTACCGTCACAATATCTATTTTGACGAACATAATTTATTCCGAAGTTTTTATTAACGTGCAATTACACGATTCAGACACGATTGGAGTCTGTGCGGTCGGTCACACGGTATGCCTATGACCTCTTTTACGATAACTCGTAGACCGATGATATTGTTATTCATTGCAAATATTTTTCATTTTCCCTCCCGCCGTCCTACCGGCTCGCACTAAGGTCAGACAGTTGAAAAGGAGTTGAAAGCTTGTTATCGACAATCTGATTATGGCAATCGACATGGTAACGTTCTAGACGGATTCACACCTCCATATGGGAACCGGACTACCGGTCGCGATGACGTGTTCAGTGTTTTGTTCTTGTACAATAATAAAATAATACGAAAGGCCCCATTATACATGTCGCTGCCGTTGTATTGTACGCAGTCGTTAAATACGTTTACTATATTATACAGGAATACCTACGTTTTGGGGGTGGGACTCGTGCGATGATCAAGTGTAGTATATGTACGCGACGGTCGTTTAACAGACTATTAAAAATGTACGAAAAAAAATGTGCAATATTTTCGGCCACGACATCATAACAATATATCAAACGATAAAACAAAAATAATGCGACCAGATTTTATTATATTATTATATAGTGGGAGACGACGTGTTTCGTTTTTACACAATTTAACCGCCTACGCACGTCGGCTAATAAAATATTATATTACTATCGAACTCAATATCAATATACGACGTGGTCAGTAGAAGCGAATAATATTCCCCCGGCGCCTAAGTCGCGGGTCAGTTTCTTATCGGTAATAAACGATTAGCGACACGTAACTGCGATGTTTTCGTTTTTAACGACTCCGGAACGCCTGCGTAAATATAGGTACCTCTTATACAAACGAGCTGGAGATGAGTGTTTTAACGATTTACATATGTTATGGCATACAATGGACTGGAATGCAATAAAAATATTTATACGTGTATGTATGCGTGTACACACACACACACACACACACACACACACGCGCGCGCGCGCACCCATATATAATAAGCATACATCGTCAAAAGATAAGTGTAATAAAAAGAATCGTCGTTTTCTTCGTCCTCCCGGTCCTCGTGCTATTCTTCTTTCATAAATTGGGTGGCATTTCCAAGGACTCTTAATTTTTAATGAGTTATTTAAAAAAAGTACGACTAAACGGGTTTATGACTTATGGGTTTGAGATGCGTATATATAATGAAAACATCGTGGAAGTATTATATTTCGTCGTAGATGATATATATATATATACCATATACGCGTCTCCGGAATATTGTGCCCACTCACGGTTGCAGGTATACAGCTGCGGATAATATGTTGTCTACCGCGCGTGGAGATTTCGATCGCAAATGGTTTGAAATGTATTTTTTTTTTTTACAAATCGGAAAACGGTCTAGCGTAGGAATAAGGAAACACGTCTCATGTTGAGGACAAAAACGAAAACAATAACAAATTCCTGCAACTGCACGAAAGGGTAGCGCGTGCAGTGTAATTGACGCCTTATACTGCGTTGTCATCATAATAGTCTATTATTATAATAGCCAATGAACAAATATCTCACTCCCACAAGTGCAGATGATTCTCAGATATAGGTTTTTTCCCTGTTAGTGTTTATGAAAGAATATTGTGTGTAACAAGTTGTGTAAAGGTCAAACGAATAATATTATACATAGCGAGGTGAAGTATTACGCAATACCAATCGATGTCGATTGTTCGTCACGAGTATATATTTTTATTAAATATTTTATGTACCCGAAGGAGTGATATATATATTATGTGTATACAAATCGAAACTTATGTGATATCGTAGATCTAAAACGTTTATTCATTTATTTTATTACCGTGTTTTTTTTTATTTTGTTAAATTCTCTATTGTCATCTTTTACACGTATCGTCCGTGTCGTATCTAACATGCATCGGACGCGATTTATTTCACTTAGAACGCATTAACTTGTAAGCCCGGTGACGTCTCGAGAACTTACTTGTCCGGTGCACTAGTAAATTCGAGGGTATGACATCGAAAGGGAACAATAGAGTTCAGAGATGACGTAGATATCTTAGATTTGTGTTCTGAAATATGAATTCGGAGTGTACGCCGACGACGGTCACCGACCTCACAAATAGTCCTATTGTTTTATCACGTCGGAATTAGCGACGAACGATCCCGATGAAACTCGACTCACTGCGGCGGTTATAACATTATTATTATTTTTATTGAATTTCCAGATTCCACCACCACCACCACCAGTCACCGCGTCATAGCCGCCTGCAACTTATAAATACGTCTTCAAATAATATCGAAAACGAATAAAATACGATCATCGGCAAAAGTCAATCCATATCTGTCAGGAATATATAATATTTATCGTGGGTGCTAGCAACGAACTCGCGTGCGTGCGTGCGTGGGTCCACCACGAGCAGCTGGACAATGGGGTCACATCTGCCGGACGGAAGCGTCGATGACCAATGACTCCGGCGAAGAGGACCATTACAAAAGATCGCTACTTAATAAAATCTCTATTGAATACCTATACCGTTTGTGTGCGTATATATATATAGGTCCCGAAAGGACTTTAAGGTGCTGAACGAATCGACAGAAAAGAAATACCCACCCGGTGTTAAATTGTAACGGGGGCCAGCACCTTCGCAACGGGACGTCCATTGTGACCCAACACGCGTGTATGTGCGCCCGATCATAAATATTGCACACGGGACACATTTTTTTTCGCTTTCTTTTCTTCTTCAATTTTCGGTTTCCTAGAATAAACTTTTTCTAAAATGCTAGCGCGCACGTAACACCACCAGTTGAGTCCTTTTTCATTTTAGAAAACATGGACATTTAGACCACACGCAACAGACTTGTCCATGCGCACTTGGATTGAGAAAATAATATTATATCATGTAACATGTCGGCCATTAAATACAATAATATTGAATAACTCCTACCGTTACAGTTGCCATTATACCCCCACATCATCATAAATTATTATTAGTATACATCCTCTAACCCATCTTGGTACACAATAATAATAATGCCTGGTATCGATGAAAATAAAAACGAAGAATTCGAACGTAAACTATCTTGACCTACATAGAAGGGTAGTGTGTAAATCCACCTCGTGCTGGCACTCGGTTCTCAATGCAACGCCCTATAGGTACTACAACTGCAAACATAATAATATAAAACATATAAGTACCTAAGTACAAAATGCGACCAGGCTGTCAGCCAATCGGAAAGCGTGTGCGCAACACCTCTATTGTTTCGGACGCATACAAATAAACGCAAATCATTTCGTCTGCACGAGCATATAATATCATCGTCTACCGTATGAGGGTATCGATAATGATAATAATAATAATAATAATCATAACAATAACAAACAAAAAACAATAATAACAATAATTACTGATTGATGACTCGGTTCTGTTTAAACAATGTTCTGCCTTAAATATTATTATTACGCCGAATTGTATCTATTGTTTGAGCGTCTCGACGTACACCCGCGGGCCATCCCGCTCGCTCGACTTCGGCGGCAACTTCATACAACAGCACGTGTGTGTTAATGAACAACGAAATAAAATAATTTTCCAACATCGCATTGTATTATAATAATATTATCGTCGTCGCAACATTACAATAATTATACCTCATAATAATTATTAATATTATAATCAATCGTATAACGTCTCGTATTATAGCAGTATTATAATGCGATGTATTCCAATAATGAGCACGCGACGAACGTTGGATATCATCATATTATTATTATGACCATCGTGTGGACGTGGTCATATTATTATGCAGGTAATGGTCACCTAAACACGCGATGATAAAAATATAACCGTAAAGTATGATAATATAATATATGCCAACGCGAGGCTGTACGACGCGACGGTTCGTGGTATGAAGTATACGCGCGTGCAATGTGAATGAAGAGAACAAATGAAATAAAATATATTACAAACACCGGATCACTTTTTTTTTCCCTCCCGTCAACCACTACTGCTAATATATAAAACGTCCGCGTGTATCACAGTGATATTATACGTACAGTAAGTCGACTTGTGCACACCGAGT